ATAAATAATTAACTACCACTCCAGTTGTAGTTAATTATTTATTCATTATCTGCAGGATTGTCATTTTGCACAACTCTGCTCCTTCCATTCATTGTTAATGTTTGGTCTAATTTGTTAAGAAAGCTTTATTTTTCTTTAAGGTCAAAATTGTGTAATATTTGCTATTTGTGTGTAATTTTATCACATAAAACGTGATATAAGCTTAATGAATTGGTCTGAACAAAGTTGGGGGGGGAGGGCTACGGGCAGCACAGCGTAATTACAAGGGGGACATGTTAGAAATGAAAAGCCAAGAGTTTCCCAGATAAACCCAAAAAGATTCATAAAATAATGAGAAGATCTGTCCTTTAACAGAAATGGACCCGTTTTTGATGGTGCTGCGCATGCAGCAGCCTGTTACGTCCGCTCCATGTTCTCCTTTCCTACTTTCTCTATGTTATTTTGTTTGGATAATTTTTTTCCTATTAGTGAATATTGTATCTGATATTCTAGTCTGATTGGGGAGCGACTTCAGGAGAAGACCCCCACCTCACTCCCCAGTGATCATCCAGAGGCAGCACATAGAAACTGTGGAGTTTCAAATACCTGTGGGTGTTCATGTCAATAAACTGGACTGATCTCATCACACCAACACCTGTATAAGAAGGGCCAGAGCCGTCTCCACCTCCTGAGGAGGCTGAGGTCCTTTGGAGTGATCAGGCCCCTGCTTCAAACCTTTCATGATTCTGGCTACGTTCACACTGCAGCCTGGAGTAACCTAAATCCATTTTTTTTGCCCATATGCGACCTGGATCTGATCTTGTCATGACAGTCTGAACAACACAGATATGATTTTTTTCCAATGCGACCCAGGCCACTTGGCTATGTGGTCCTGAATCTGATCTTTTCAAATGCGACCTATGCCTGAGCAGCCAGGTTGGGTCATCAAACCATCTAACATCATTAACACTCGATAAAAAAGGTTACTATTATGCATCTTACTACGCAGAAGTGGCAAGATAAACAACAACCATGGCAGATGATGATGCTGAGAGCAGTATCTATGTTTAAACATATTGAAAAGACTGAGTTTCTATGGAAAAGACCGCTAGATGCGCGCCGGCGCTACTATCCATGTTTATGGAAAAAAAAGAGCACGCTGGCCTGTGACGTCATTGCGTCCTCTACTGCGCATGCGGGACACTTGCGTTGTATGACTGCAGTTCACACAGGAGATCACTTACAAGTTGCATATATTTGGAAATATGAACAGCAACGTAAAAAAAATTGGATTTCGCAAAAAAATCGGAATTGAGCATCAAGGCCTGCAGTGCGAACATAGCCTCTGTGGTGGCATCAGCCCTCCTCTACGCTGTCGTCTGCTGGGCCCCTGGCAGCGCAGAGCGTGACAGAAAGAGACTAAACAAACTGGGGAGAAAGGCAGTTTTTGTCCTAGGCTGCACTCTGGACTCAGTGGAGGAATTGGCTGAGAGGAGGGTGCTGTCCAAGCTTCCATCCATCATGGAAAACACCTTCCACCCTCTGCAGCAGACTGGAGAGCAGCTGCTTTAGTCAAAGACTTTTACACCTTGTATTTCTCTATATTTGACACCCAGAGCAATAAAAAGAGCTCTAATATATATATATATATATATATATATATATATANATTTATTCATTATCTGCAGGATTGTCATTTTGCACAACTCTGCTCCTTCCATTCATTGTTAATGTTTGGTCTAATTTGTTAAGAAAGCTTTATTTTTCTTTAAGGTCAAAATTGTGTAATATTTGCTATTTGTGTGTAATTTTATCACATAAAACGTGATATAAGCTTAATGAATTGGTCTGAACAAAGTTGGGGGGGGAGGGCTACGGGCAGCACAGCGTAATTACAAGGGGGACATGTTAGAAAGATTCATAAAATAAAAAGAAGATCTTTCTTGTAACAGAAATTGACCCGTTTTGGATGGCGCTGCGGATGGTATCTCCGCTCCATGTTCTCCTTTCTTTCTTTCTGTATTTTATTTTGTTTGGGGAATTTTTTTTCCAATTATTGAATATCGTGTCTGATATTATAGTCTGATTGGTGAGCGACTTCTTGAGAAGACCCCCACCTCACTCCCCATTGAACATCCAGAGGCAGGACATACAAACCAGATTCCAAAAACGTTGGAACACTAAACAAATTGTAAAAAAAAGGTTAATTCAAAATTTCACAGTGTCTACAGATCCCAAAAAAGTTGGGACAAGTAGCAATAAGTGGCTGGGAAAAGGATATTGAGCAAATAACGAACAGCTGGAAGACCAACTAACACTAATTAGGTCAATTGACAACAGGATTGGGTATAAAAAGAGCCTCTCAGAGTGTCAGTGTCTCTCTGAAGCCAAGATGGTAAGAGGATCACCTATTCCACCATTGTTGAGCAGAAAGAGTGCAGCAATACCAGAATGGTGTTGCCCAGCGTAAAATAGCAAAGACTTTTAAGTTATCATCATCAACGGTGCATAACATCATCAAAAGATTCAGAGAATCTGGAACAATGGCTGAGCGTAAGGGTCAAGGCCGTAAAACTTTACTGGATGCTCGTGATCTCCGGGCCCTTAAACGTCACTGCACCTCAAACAGGAATACTACTGTCAAGGAAATAACAGAATGGGCTCAGGAATACTTCCAGAAAGCATTGTCAGTGAACACAATCCGCTGTGCCTTCCGCCATTGCCAGCTACAGTGCAAAGAGGAAGCCACTTCTAAGCAAGCTCCACAAGCTCAGCCGTTTGCACTGGGCCAGGGATCATTTAAAATAGACTGAGGCAAAATGGAAGACTGTTCTGTGGTCAGATGAGTCACGATTTGAAGTTCTGTATGGAACACGGGGACGCTGTGTCATCCGGACCAGAGAGGACAAGGATAACCCAAGCTGTTATCAACGCTCCGTTCAGAAACCTGCATCACTGATGGTATGGGGTTGCATGAGTGCTTGTGGCACGGGCAGCTTGCATGTCTGGAAAGGCACCATAAATGCAGAGACCAATGTTCAAGTTCTAGAACAACATATGCTTCCATCTAGACGTCATCTGTTTCAGGGAAGACCCTGCATAACACATTTTTTCCATTAAAATGATACATTCTCTCAGTTTAAAATTTTGATCTGCGATTTGTGTTCTATTCTATTCTTTGGCAAATTCTTCTTTTTTGACTATTTGAGCTGATGTAATGAGTACATTTCTCCACTGTTAGATCAATAAAGTCAATCAATCAATTTAGCAAAGTCGTTAAAACTCACCGGATTCTTTAATTGCATGACCCACCGTCTTGGACCAGCCCAGAGGGTGGACCAGAGGACTGCACATGTGGCACCAGAAGTCGAAGACGGCGTTTTCATGGACGTCGCTTTGGTTCCCAATCAGCAGCCGGAGACGGCCACCGATAACAGAGTCCACCACGGCCACTCTGGTCCGACTCAGGTGTTTAGGATCCACCACCTCCAAGCGCATGCCCACCCTGAACGGACACTTCATGCTCTCTGCCAGCTACGGAACCAAAAACACCCAAAGGTTCCGGTCAGGGGCCATACAAGTCCCCAGTCATGAGCAGGGAACAGTTTAACAGCAAACAGGTCCTATTCCTTTACCTTTGCATAGAAGTCAACGGGTAGAGTGGTGGATCCCACCAGCTTCTTCATCAGATATGATTTCCAGTCCGAGATGTTTGTCACATCTGTAAACAGGCAAACATGTGGTTGCTTTAAGAAATGACTCACGCTTCGTTTTCTGCTGCCTTGGGTTGAACTCTGCCCGCTGAAGCTCACCCTGCGGCGGCACCAGCAGCTTGCTGGTCATGGAGCACCAGCCGATCGGGTTCAGCTCTCCAGAAACAAGGCTACACCAGAAGTCATGGCTGCTGTCATGTTGGTAGCCTTCATATCTGAGCAGCGCCTTGTATCCTGCAGACCAGTGAGAAAAAAACGGACACTAGTTTAAGATAAACGCCGCCTTTCAGACGCATGTTGACTGAACAGAAACAATAAATGGAGCTTCAACATCTAAACTAGTTTTTAAATGGATAAAACCTTGCAGCAGATGAAATAAGTTCAAAGCTTGATGGTCCATTTACACTTTGAAATGAGCACATAAATAATAAAGATGGGACATACCTGCAATCTGAATAACAGAGGCTATCCAGTAGACTTTATTGGAAAGGACAGAGTTGGTGTTGAGGACCTCTACCTTCATCCCAACAACCACATCATCCCAATCTGAGCTCAGAGGAGCCTGCAGAGACACGGAAGCAGATCCACTTTATGCTTCACCGGAAACAATCTCAGCCACATAGTTCATAATTATAAATTTAAAGCCATTCTCGAAAAAAACTAAGTAATTAGTTTCAATATAGAGGAGTAAAATATGGAGTAAACTCACATGTGCGAAACAGGGGACGGGTGCAGCCATGGCCGCCTCTCTCTTCAGATAGGAGCCCCAGTCAAACGTTGCAGCAGCTGCAGAAAAAACGCATCATTTTACAGCGCCAATGTAGATCCCACTTCCCAGCAGCTGTTGGATTTTTCTTTCAGTTACAAGAAACGCTGCAGGAGTTTACTGACATCATGGATGGGGAGAGAATACTTGATTTTCCAGCTTTCCAGCCGTGTGAATCGTTTTGTTCGACAGAGTATTAGGGCCAGGAAAGAGGTTCTTTTTTCATTTTATTTTGAGAATAAAGTCATAAAATTACCAGAATAAAGTTGTAATTTTACAGAATAAAGTCTTAAAATTATGAGAATGAAGACATCATACCAAAACCCGCTTCAGAAAGAAAGGTTGGAGCACCGAACAGACACCTGAGTCCACTTTAACCTCCTGCCCAGTTTGACGCTGCTGCTAAAAGCTTTACTTTTTATTTTTCCAGCTTTTTATTGTCATTACACTGTCACAAGTACAGAGCAACTAAATTAACTCTCTGTATTTAACCCATACCATTGGGGCGCATTGTGCACGATTCTGGGGAAATTTTAATCTCACCTAGTTTAACATTGAGGAGAAAAAAAAAGACTTATTTAAAATAAAAAGGTCAGAACTTAAAGTGTTTAAATGGATCCAAATTGGCAGGATTTCATTTTAAAAAGATTTTCCTTTTGCGTTTTTAGAGAAGGAATTTTTTTTGCATTTTATATTAACTGGCCCGGTCAACAAAGCTTATTTTTTTCTGAAGTGACCATCTGTCGTTTATTATGCTATTCTCCATTCTTCATCATAAGTTGCTCTTTTTCTACCCGTTGTTGAGCTAAGTGTGTGTGATTTATAATACCTTCTGCTCCTGCAGCTGCAGAGGAGGCTTTGGCTATCATCTTGTTGAGCACTGTAGCTTTTTTTGAGGGAGGTCGACCCTAAAGAGATAAAAACATAAAAAAGTGAAATTAGATGAACTTCTCTGCAAATACTATTCAAAACGCAGAAGAAAACGTCTCAAACTAAAGGTGCTTTAACTTGCATTTGGAGAGAAGACAATGCTGCCAGGGACTGAGCCGCGTTTCCCCACATATCAGCTGTTTTAGGTCATAACATGATCCAAGTGGCAGAAAACTTTATTCATCATATATATGAGATGTAAAACCAAGAACTCCAGGATATAACGGAAATAAAAAGGCCCAGAGATCTAATCAGATCTAATTTTAGCTCATCTGAAATAATGAATACAGCAGGTTCTGTATAAATGAGTGCTGGGAAAACCTCACTGAACAGACAAACTGTTAAAAAAAACTTTCCTACTGTTTAAAAATCACTTTCTGAATTTAAGACCAAAACTCATCAGATCCCAACAACAGAGGAATACAATCGCTGCCTCAGCAAAGTGGTTCACAAATGTAATAAAACTTCACTTAAACAGACTTAAATATAAAAAAATAATTAAAATGAATCCATATTAATATCTTTAACTCTGTACAGGGTTTCCTCTGGTTAACTAATTCATGGACCTTTAAAATAATTAACAGGACACTTATTTTTTAAATGTATAAACTGTTGGAGCTCAGCAGCAAATGTGTTGAAAGTTATTGATTTCTTTACGCCTTCAAATGCTCACTGAGGCCATCTAGTGGTGA